TGGGGGGTCTCAAAAGGGCCAACACTTATTCCAAAAAAACGAGGTCTCCCGCTATCTCTGTCCAACGATGCCTAGCTAACTCACCCTAGTCTTCATGGGCACGGGACGGGGGCTGATTAAACACAAATTATCAGCAGGGCCGCTCCCCCGGCCCCGCTGAGGGTTCCCGAGATGTCTGCCAAAGCAGACAACACTATCCTCCATTGTTCCCAACACTACAAAAATTACAAAGAAGCCCCACCCAAAGGGGCGAGGATCTTAGGCCTACAAGGGAGCCTTGTTTTCAAAAGTCCTGGACAAGGCATCTGCGATGATGTTGTCGGCCCCTGTTTTGTGCTGGATCTGGACGTTAAACTCTTGGAGCAGTAGGGCCCACCTCATCAGTCATTGGTTATGGTTGAACATTCGGTGGAGAAATACCAGAGGATTGTGATCTCTAAAAACGAGAGTCGTGAATGAACTGTTCCCAAGGTAAACGTGAAAATGCTGTACAGCCCAGATGAGTGACAGAGTTTCCATTTTGATGGTCAAATAGTTCCGCTGAGCCTGGTTGAATTTCCTGGAGTAATAGCATACAGGGTGGTCAAGCCCGCCGGCATCCTCCTGGAGGAGAACAGCCCCCGCACCGGTGTGGCTGGCGTCAACCTCCAGCTTAAATGGACGGGAGAGGTCAGGAGCAGCTAAAACGGGAGCAGAGCATAACAGACGTTGCAAGGAGACAAAAGCAGTTTGGCAATCTGGAGTCCACGAGAAAGGAATTCGAGGGCTGAGCATGTTAGTAAGTGGCTGGGCCACAACAGAGAAATTACGGCAAAAACACCTGTAGAACCCTGCTAGGCCTAAAAATCGCCAGAGTTCACGACGGGTTTTCGGAGGGGGAAACGAAATCATAGCCTGGATTTTATCTGACAAGGCTCTCACTTTCCCATGGCCGACTTCCTTCCCCAAGTAGCGGACGGTAGCTTTCACGAACTCTCATTTCGCTAGGTTCACTGTGAGATTAGCGTGTTTGAGGTGATCGAACTCGGTATGCAAAGTCTCGACATGAAGATCCCAGGACGAAGTAAAAACAGCAATGTCGTCCAAATACGCACTGCAGTGAGGAACATCACCCAGAACCTGGTTCACGAGCCTCTGAATTGTAGCAGGAGTGTTCCTTAACCCAAAAGGCAGAACAGTGTATTGCAAGAGGTTGTCTGGAGTTACAAAAGCTGACACTTTAGAGGCAAACGGGGTCAACGGTACCTGTCAATAACCCTTCAGGAGGTCAAGGCGGGTAACAAACGAGGCGGCCCCCACACTATCTATGCAGTCATCGACACGAGGCAGCGGGAACGCATCTGGTACAGTCGCGGCGTTCAACTTACGGTAATCGGTGACAAACCTATGGGTACTGTCGGGTTTGTTCTCCAACAAACAGGGAGAACTCCAGGAGCTAGTGCTAGGTTTCGCCAGGCCATTCTCAAGTAAATACTCCACTTCCTATTTCATTAACTCCCACTCATGTGAGCTGGCTCAGTAGGGGTGCATACGCATGGGTGTCGGGTCTGAAAGAGCGATGTCATGGGCTATGAGATGTGTCTGAGACGGGGCATCTGAGAACACTTCAGGAAACGAGTGAATTAAATCTTTTAGCTCAACCTGCTGGGAAGGCGGAAGATGAGTTAGGCAGTCGTGTACATTTTTTAATGCTTCCGAATTGCACAATTGGGGGCGTAGGAGGACCCACAGCGGAGGCGCGACAGGACACATCAGGGTCCTCAGGTGGAGGAGGAACCACAGTAGTGGCCACAACCCCGGACTGAGAGGGGCCGGAGTCTCTAGCATGGAACAACTGAAGGCGGTTTATGTGACAAACCTTGGCTTTCCGGCGCATCAGAGGGGTCTTTATAACATAGTTGCGGTCATCTAATTTTGATACAGCGTCAAAGGGGCCCTCAAACTTTGGAGATATCCATAGTGGGATCCAAGAGGAGGACTTGGTCTCCTACTTGGAGGTCTCTAGAGCGAGACTTTAGGTCAAAACGAGCCTTCATGGAGGCTTTTGCCATCCTCAGATGCTGCTGGGCTAATTAGTTAGCTTCTTTTAGTCTTCTCTGAAAGGTATTTACAGAAGTGGGTAACCTGGACCCAGCCGGAGGAACAGGCCAGAGAAATTTTTCCTTTAAAGCCTTCAGCGGGCCTCTAGGGCATGACCAAACACTTGTTGATGCGGGCTGAAACCAGTGGAATCCTGCACGGCATCCCTGGCGGCAAACAAAACAAAGGGAAGACCTTCTTCCCATGAGCGACCCGAGGAAAAGCAGTGCTTCCATAGCATAGTCTAAAGTTCGGTGTCATCTTTCTATCACACCCTGGCTTTCGGGATGGTAAATAGACTAGGTTACATGTTTAATTTTCAGCGTCTTTGCTACCTGGGAGAAGATCCGCAACGTAAAATGTGTCCCTTGGTCTGATTGTATGACCTTAGGCAACCAGAAAACCGAAAAGAACCCATTTAAAGCTTTTATTTTATTTTTGGTTGAAATGGAGGGCAGAGGAATAGCTTCCGGGAAGCGAGTTGCAGAACACATGATGTTCAATAGATATTTGCGTCCAGACCGGGATGGAGGAAGAGGTCCCACGCAGTCTATAACAATATGATCAAAGGGCGTAGAAACCACCGGAATTGGGCACAAAGGTACAGGTCGAACTGTTTGATTTGGGTTCCCTACCGTCTGACAAGTAGCACAGCTACAACAAAATTCAGAAACACCTTGTTTCAGACCGGGCCAAAAGAAGTGGCGTAGGATAGCATTATAGGTTTTGTTAATCCCTAGGTGGCCAGACCACTCGCTTTCATGGGCCAGGTTGAGAATATGAGGCCTAAATTTGTCAGGGACCATGATCTGTTTAACTCGGGCCCAACCGGCCTCTTTGGAGGAGGATGAGGTCCAACACCAAAACAATATGGCATTTTCTATTTCATAAGTGGCCTGAGTGTTGGGGGACGATGAAGCAATGTCAACTAGAGAAAAATAAGGAGCCAGAGTTGGGTCCGCTCTTTGAGCTGCAGCTAATGACTCGCAAGAAATGGGTAAGTCCATCTGAGGACTTCTAGCGGCCGGTTCCGGCTTAGTTACAGCACGAACCGGGCTGGTTATTTCATCAGATAATTTCGGGAACAACACAGAATCCTTAAGGGAAACTTCCGAGTCGTTCTTACGATGGGCACGAGTCAAGACACAAGCAGGCAAGATATCCAAGCTGTCACAGATTTCAGGAGGAGAAACAATCTCAGGAGGGGGAAGAACCAGTCCACCCGCAGCATCGTTTCCCAATATCATATCAACACCTAGGGTCAGTAGGTTATCCAAGATGGCTACTTTTATGTCACTCGTAATCAGAGGACATGAGAGATGAACATGATGAATCTCCGCCGGTACAGAACCCATTTCTATGTCTTGTAGTAGAAAGGCATAACCAGCATGGCTAGTCGCCGAGAAGGGCAACACACCACGTTTTATTAGAGTCTGAGAAGCTCCCGTGTCCCGTAGAATTACCACTTCCTTGTTGACTTTACTATTTTCCAGTGAAACGACCCCAGAGGATAAAAAGGGTTTAAAACTGGCATGAGGCACTTCACATTTCTCCACACTCTTTATTTCCTCAGCACAGGCAGCTATTGGTTTAGCTGGAGGAGAGTTTCCACTCCGCCGGGGTTTCTGCTGGAGGAGAGGACAGTCACGGATGAAATGTCCTTCTTCATGACAATAAAAACACTCGGGAGATACATCTTAATTAGAGTTTTTAGCAGAAAGTCTCACACCTCGAACTGAGTCAGGTCTTGGCTCTCGGGATCGAGGTTCCTTGGCATTGAGAAACACCCTTTGACCTGCTCCATGTATTCTAGACCTTATTTTTATGGCTTTATGTTAAGAAGCCGCCAATATTTTTCAACAACTGGGCACCTTTTAATTCGTTTTCAACAACATTTTGATGAATATTTTTAGAGATTAATGATAAAAACTGCACATTGTCCTTTAAGGATCATTTTATCTGGTTGATAGTTTTTGAAAATATTGCATTAGAATTAGGGCTTGGCAATAAATCGAAAATGTATCGTTATCAACATTTCTGACTCTTATAGAGATATTTCCCACGTCAATAAATTTGATAATAAAAAAATTAAAAGTTGTGTGTAGGTTGGCAATGTTCATGTCCCTTTAAGAAGCTGCACCACCTTGAGTCACGTAAAAATATGACTCAACTAATACATGTGACAGCCCCATCTAGTGGACAACTTTTGTTTCTGTGAATACCTGTAGTTATCGTCCATTTATCTTTATCGAGGTGACACCCTCAGTATATCATGATATTGATTATAGGCCATATCGCCATGCCCTAGTTGGAAAGTAAGCAAGTAAAACTATTTATGTACCATTTCATGATCCCACTGATCTGTGTATTAGCCAACAATTTCAAATGAAAGATATAAAGAAAAAAACTGATTTAAAGGGGTACGTTTTCAACTGACAATAAAATTGTGAAAAGATTGATTAGTGAAAAATTCTAACAGAAATTTACTTATAATGAACAACACAGTTGCATGATACAGTGATACACCCTAAAGCAGAGGTGTTCTAGGGGAGAATGCATGTAGAAAATAGATGATTGAAGGCTTCAGCTTCTTTGTGAGAATGCAGCTCCTGTAGGCTCCTGTTCTAAGCTCGTTGTCTGTTTTAGTTATATCTGTTTTGATGAAATCTTTAAAATACCAGCTAGCTTTTTCCAACCAGTACTTATGAAAAGCAGCTTTTTTGAAACCAAATTACTCACTGAATTGTTTGAGTCCTACTGTAAACATCCATTCATGATCACATTTCAAGAGTTTGTTCAAGTCTGTCCTCTTGTTGATTTGTACCAATCGGACCAGACATAGGCTAAAACATTATCTTCTACAACCAAAAGGTGAATGATTAAAAACTAAAGTGACACACACATCTCTGTTATGTGTTCAGGTATTGGTGGAAACCTTGTGGCCATTCAGTCCAGTAGGATTTCCACCCACTTACATTTCCACTGTGTACCTGGGGAGGTTCCTGATGAGGCCAAGGGCTGCTACTACCCCTGCCGCACCTTCTGTGGCACAGGTTAGTCCAAACCAAATATGGATAAGCTCACTGTTTCTCATACGATGTGCCAACTTCTCACACAGATTTGTTTTGGGTTGTTTCAGATAATAAACTGAATTAACACTTATTAAGTAGTTTGTAGGAATCTTGTCAGACTAATACTTAGCTTAAAGTATGTAAAGTACATTAAGTTCTTATTACTGTTTAACAAAAACCAAAGGGTAAAGATTAATCAGCAGTTGTTACCTCTAAAAAGTAACTTGGACTGGAACAAGTGAATAATACAAAATAAAACCTGTTGATCATTCTGAAACACCCAGCTTTATTTACAGCTGCAATAGTTTCACAAACTTCTGATTGTATATCATATATGGAGTATTCAATCATGTTTATTTTAAAAAAAATAAACTCACACTTTTAATTTTTATTAACCTTTTCAACTGATTTTCAATCTATTTACTCGTATAACATATTTCTTGTACAAAAAGCTGTAAATGTAGTATTTTTTTCCAATCCATGAGTAGTTTATTGTCATTATGTTGATGATAGTTATTTCTCTAACCAGACGTTCTGTTAATAATAATCACAGCAATGAGTTTTTGTTTCCTTTACAAACAAAAGTACCTGCAGTATTTTAGGCACATCTCAAAAATTTTAAAGAGTTTAGGACCCAACAAGCAACTTTGAAGGAATCCTGAGTTTAATATATTCAAGTCAAATTTTATTTTATTTTTTCAATCTGCATTTTAATGAATATACACTCACTGGCCACTTTATTGGGTACACCTTGCTAGTACCGGGTTGGACCCCCTTTTACCTTCACAACTGCCTTAATCCGTCGTGGCATAGATTCAACAAGGTACTGGAAACATTCCTCAGAGATCTTGGTCCATATTGACATGATGGCATCACGCAGTTGCTGCAGATTTTTTGGCTGCACATCTATGATGTGAATCTCCCGTTCCTGCTGGAAGCAGCCATCAGACGATGGGTACACTGTGGTCATAAAGGGATGGACATGGTCAACAACAATACTCAGAAAAGCTGTGGTGTTGCAACAATGATCAATTAATACTAAGGGGCCCAAAGTGTGCCAAGAAAATATCCCCCACACCTTTACACCACCACTGCCAGCCTGAACCGTTGATACAAGGCAGGATGGATCCATGCTTTCATGTAGTTGATGCCCAATTTTTTCCCTACCATCTGAATTTTGCAGCACAAATCGAGACTCCTCACACTAGGCAACATTTTCCAATCATCTATTGTCCAATTTTGGTGAGCCTGTGTGAATTGTAGCTTCAGTTTCCTGTTCTTAGCTGACAGGAGTGGCACCCGGTGTGGTCTTCTGCTGTTGTAGCTCTTCTGCCTCAGGGTTCAGAGATGGTCTTCTGTTTACCTCGGTTGTAACGTGTGGTTATCTGAGTTACTGTTGCCTTTCTATCAGCTCAAACCAGTCTGGCCATTCTCCTCTGACCTTTGGCACCAACAAGGCTCACTGGATGTTTTCCCTTTTTTGGACCATTCTCTGTAAACCCTAGAGATGGTTGTGCGTGACAATCCCAGAAGATCAGCAGTTTCTGAAATACTCAGACCAGCCCATCTGGCACTAACAACAATGCCACGTTCAAAGTCACTTAAGGCACTTTCCTTCCCCGTTCTGAAGCTCGGTTTGAACTGCAGCAGATCGTCTCAACCATGTCAACATGCCTAAAAGCACTGAATCGTCACCATGTGATTGGCTGATTTAGCCATTTGCATTAACGAGCAGTTGGACAGGTGTACCCAATAAAGTGGCCAGTGAGTGTATAACGAATATCTATTCAATAACACAAGTTTTTCTTTTTATCCAATGTTTTTTGTAAAATAAATAATAACTGAGGTAAAAAAAAGTAATATGAGACATAGACAAGACCAAAGATGTAGGTACGCTATAGGTAACAGAAAAGCTGTACAGTCAAGATGCAGCTGGAGCAACACAGCCATCACACTGTTGTTCCTCACTGCTGTTTTCCACCACCTGGCTCATCTGGAAACAACCATTAGGGTTGACTCTCTGAACTTTAAACTTTTTTTCTCAATTTGTTTAAACTCTTTCAGGTGCAAATCATCGCTCGGCTCAGGTGCTCCTGCTTTTATTGATTCCTGGGCACCTGATCTTCTTGTACACAATACACCTGATGAAGAGTGGCCATACCACCCTCACGCCCATCTTTATGTCGGTCTACCTGGCTGCTGCTTTGCTGCAGGTGAGCACATTCTAACTAGTAATAGTCTTTTTCTATATGAGTTACTCTTAACACGTATATTTGAAGAGTGAGTTCATCTGAGATCTGACCATAACAGCTACAACCCAGACCAAAAATGAGCATTAAGGCAGCTCGTCTGTATAAGCCTAATCCACTGATTAGATTTTAACTTTATTCTCACATACTCATCAGAATCATGGAATTCAGATGTTTTCCTCGGTGGGAGAAGGCTGTTTCCTCTTTACACTTGTGTTCCCTTTCAGTCGATTCACTCGGTACAACAAAGATACTATGGGACATCACGCCCTCGTGTGGCTTGGCTGAAGACACATTTAACCACGCCTGTAAGGCATATGTAAGTGCCGCTGCATGGAGGCCCCGCCCTCCACTTATAAGCGACCGCGTCACTGTCATTCCCCAGTTCTTACCCTCTTCATCTCGCTGAGAACACATCTGACAACTAGCTGCGCTATTGAAAGATAGCTTAACCGCTCGCTGACAGGACTCTAATGCCTTCTGGCTAGCATTCCCGCCCACCGAGCGCTATCTTTTGTGGCTCTTCAGCTTCTCCACTTCGCTCTGCTGTGTGTCTCGCAATGAGCACCGTGTCGGACGTCGCTTCACGGAAAGCCGCTTCGCGCCCCTGTCCTCAGAGCTGCAGATTCTCTCTTCACAAGAAGGACCTACACGAAGCGTACCCAGGTTGGTCTGGGAATTCTCCATGCCAGGGAGTGCTTGTGGACCTGGAGGCGTGCGAATTCTGTCGCTGACTCCGCCATCCCACGCTTGAACGGCGCGTGAAGCTCCTACAACGTCTCCTGGGAGACGCTGCAGTTTCGCAGCAGGACCCCATGCTTTCCCGTTGGGTGGCTCTGACATGGACAGCCTATGATCGATGTCCCCGCTACTAGCTGAGCAGATCAGATGGAGATGGCGGACAATTTAACCGGACCAGACCTAGAGGCTTCTCAGTTTCCTCCTCTGGCAGAAGGTGAAGGAGGCATTTTGGACATTTGCCCCGACGGTCAGCACTTACTTGAGGATGAAGAGGTCCTCTCGGCGGTTGAGTGTTCAGCTCCGGCCGCTACTTCAGCCTCCGAGCTGTGAGATGACACTTCTTTTCTCCTGCTCTGCTGGCGTGCAGCGGGGTGGCTAGAAGTGGACTGGCCCGCTCCTCCACCTGCACAAAAGAGGTCCCACTTCTCTGGATTTTACCTCCCCTTGGAACCAGCAGAGGTAAAGAACTTTCTGCCACTGTACCCGGATTTTGTGGCTGAGCTCATGACATCCTGGGCCAAGCCGCTGTCCACCTGCACCACGGTCCCGGCCTCGACGGCGCAGAAATGGCGGGATTGGTTAACCTCCCTCTGATGGAGCCCTCTCTCGCGGCTTACCTGGCTCCGACCTGCAATAATGGAGTAAGTGGATAAACTAATTTACCCTCCAAGCCATGCCGCTTCTCAGCTGCACAACTGGAGAAGACTTACCATGCGCAGGCCTCCACTGCCCGCGTCCTCTGCTCTTCTACCATGCTCCAGACCTACCAAGCACTTTGCCTGGTGGACCTTGGAGCAAGGGTCCCCCCCCCCGACAGCCCACTGACCCTCCTCATCAATGAGATACGGGTCATGTCAGACTACATCCTGCGAGCGGCCCGAGGCGTCGCCCTGCTGTTGGGAAGAGGTATGGCCTCAACTGTAGTGGCTCAGAGACACTTGCGGCTGGCCCTTTCTAATGTTCTCGACGGGGACAGGGCTAACTACCTGGATGAGTCTGTTTCACCCAGTGGTCTGTTTGGACAGTCCCTCAACGCTATTCAGACAAAGTTCAAGGCCCAGCGAAAACTGACTGAGGCGCTACGCTCCATCATCCCCAGGCGGGAAGGGTGGCGCATGGCACCTGGGTTTGACAGGAAGAACCTGACCTCTCCTCCTCCACCTCAGAGGACAGCCTCTCCAGCGGCAGCAAAAGGCTTGGTCCCAGCTCGGACCCTGTCTTCTGTCCTCGCCACACCGCCTGGAGTAAAGGCCCTCCTGGGGACTCACAGAAACGCTCTGTGAGCCGCAAGAAGAAACCTCAGTCGTCCTGATCCCGGGACCCACCTTGTTCGGGTTTTGGACCCTGTTGGGCTACAAAAACCCAGTTTTCCATGGTTGAAACTGACCGGTTCAGCTACAGTTCGACCCCACAGTCCAAAGAGACTTTGTTTACCGCCCCCAGGGGGCGAGAGTTGTACTGTTTACAAATGCACACAAATGTAATAAAGACTGCTGTTTGCCCTCGACAATGTGTGGATGCAATGTGTCTCAACAATGCTTCTCAAATTGGCCCCATAAAGCTGCGTCAACCTGCTCCGCTGGTGAACGACACCTCAGTTTTCACATCAAATCCTGTCTGCAATCGGCCTCTGTGGGAGCTGGGCAAGCTGTGTTCTCCCGCTCTGCTGGAGAACAGTGCCTTTCTTTCGGTGGCAGACATGATGCTCAGAAAGCCTCTCGTTCCGCTAGAGGGCAGCAGCTCCCCAACCAGGGCGCTGAGCGGTTGCCTCGCGGTGAAAGTTCACCTCTGGCGAGCATGCGCAGTGTCCCCCTGGGTCGAGCGCACGGTTGCCATGGGTTACCGACTGCAGTTCATGGTCAAACCACCCGTATTTACCTCTGTTGTGCAGACATGCGTAAATAGACGCTGTGGTCGTGTTACGGGAGGAAAGTCAGACTCTACTGTTGAAAGGAGCTACTCGAGCGGTCCCTGTCAAGGGACACAAACAAAGGTTGGTACAGCTGCTACTTTGTTGTCCCGAAAAAGGGGGGCGGACTTCGCCCTATTTTGGATCTGCGTGTGTTAAACAAGTATCTGTGCACATACAGGTTCAAAATGCTAACACTCAAACAGCTACTGGATACAGTCAGTCCTGGAGATTGGTTTACTACGATTGATCTCACAGATACTTGTTTCCATGTGGGAATCCACCCCGATCACAGGTGGTTCCTGCTCTTTGCTTTCGAAGTGAAGGCCTACAAGTACATGGTTCTGCCTTTTGGGTTAGCTCTAGCTCCCCGCACCTTTTCAAAATGTGTGGAAGCTGCACTACCCCCCCCCACCCCCCCACCCCCCCCCAGGGAGGAGGGCATCCGGATCCTCGCTTACCTAGACGACTGGGCTCTGGTAGTGAGTTCCCGAACACAGGCAGAAGCTCACACTGCACGGGTACTTTCCCGCGTTCAAGCCCTGGGGTTTTCCATGAACTACAGAAAGAGTTCTCTAGTTCCGAGTCAGAGTTTCTGGGGGGCTCTGTGTGGGGATTTAGTGGTGAGTGGGGTATGGTCCTCGGCCCAGTCAAGGTTCCATATCATCTTTCTGGAACTGTTAACCGTGTTTCTGGCCCTGAAACACTTCAGTCATCACCTGAGAGACAACATGTGCGCACAGACAACACAACTGTGGTGTCAAATGTAAACAGACAGGGAGGAACATGCTCGCTTCCTCTACTGAATCTGACCCACACATCGCTGCACTGGTGCAATCTGAATCTCCTGTCTCTCAGAGCAGCTTATGTCCTCTGGTACCTCAACCACGGGGCAGACTTGCTCTCCAGGGGTGAACCTCTGTCAAAGGAATGGAGACTCCACCCCGAGGTGGTGTCCCAGATTTGGCTGAGATTCGGCAGGGCAGATTCTGCTGGACAAGGGCTTGTCATTCTCCACTTTAAAGGTCTACCTGGCAGCCATTTCGGCTTGCCATGAATCTTTTAATGGAGTTTCTCCTGGCGCTCACCCTTTAGCCATTCGGTTCATGAAAGGGGTTTGCAGACTTAGACCCATTATTAGATTGTCTGTCCCTTCTTGGGACCTCGCTTTGGTGCTGGAGGCCCTGTGTGGTCCCCCATTTGAGCCTATTGAATCGATCAGTTGGAAGCTTCTGTCTTATAAAACAGCTTTGCTCTTAGCCCTAGTATCGGCTAAAAGGATGGGAGATCTTCATGCTCTTTCAGTTCACCCTTCCTGTCTGAAAATGTCATCAGATGGAGCTAGGGTCACTCTGCATCTGAATGCTGCGTATTTGCCTAAGGTCATCCCGCTCAACTTCGGTTCCATGACCATAGAGCTTTCGGGCTTCAGTAGTCCTCCTTTTGCCTCTGAGGAGCAGAGGAGACTGCATTGTCTGTTCCCGCTTCATGCTCAACAGGCTTAAATAGATCGCACTCAGAGTATCAGAAAAACAGACCAAATGTTTGTGTGTTTTGCCAAACCCTCCATGGGTAAAGCTTTGTCAAAGCAAAGACTTTCTCATTGGATTGTTGAGGCCATTTCCCTTTGTTACAGTGTCACTGACTTCCAGCTGCCCCTAGGGGTCAGGGCACACTCTACTAGAGGTCTGGCTGCTTCTTGGGCGCTGTTTAAGGGTGTTTCAGTTGTTGACATTTGCTCAGCTGCAAGCTGGGCTTCACCCCACACCTTTGTGAGGTTTTACCGCTTGGGTGTTTTGGCCCCTTCAGTGGCCCCTCCGGTTCTCTCTGCAGGATCTGAGTTGCTATCTTATGTTTCAATCTCAGGCCAGGTTTGATGGCTGCTCATGGGGCGTTTCGATAAGTCCCATAGTACCTTTGTTGTACCGAGTGAATCGACTGAAAGGGAACATTAGGTTATGCATATAACCACTGTTCCCTGAAGGAGAGGAACGAGGTACAACGCAGAGCTGCCCCATTTCACAGCCCAGCTCGGTGAAGAGCTGCTATCGAACTAAGGAATGACAGTGAAAGGGTCGCTTAAAAGTGGAGGGCGGGGCCTCCACGCAGTGTCATTTTTATTTGCCTTACAGGCGTGATTAAATGTGTCTTCAGCCAGGCCACACGAGGGCGTGATGTCCCATAGTACCTTCATTGTACCTCGTTCCTCTCCTTCAGGGAACAGTGGTTTAATGCATAACCTAACGTTTTGAGGAGTTCCAGGCCATTAATTAATTAACAATGAATGCAATTATGGAGTGACTTAGTTATAAAG